ATGTGTAGCTCCGCGCAAACATCATTCTAAACGCTGCTGTTATGAGGGATTGAGACGATCTCTCCCCCCCCCCGCAATGTAAACGCGTTTTCTCCGCATCGTAGATGCAAGTCGCAAAAAGTTGGATAGTAGGATAGAAGTCGGTAAAAAGGTCGGGTTTGCTCTCCGCCGCCACCAGTGTAGCGTCCCACAACTTTGCACCAGGTAGGGGAAGACATGATATTGGGCAGAATACATGCATATTGAGAGAGGAAGAAGGGATTGAGCTTTACCTTGGCTCGAAGATTAGCCCACGCATTGAAGGGCCAGATGATTACTCGAGCTAACGCCAGGCATCAGGTGACTACATAAACGAAGTTTTGAAATAATATACTGATCATTTTATTTTAGTGCTTAAGAGATAACATTCCAACGTGTTATCATTTCTTTAATTGTAACCTCCGTTGCGTAGCGTGGGAACCAGTCCTTCTGCGCTAGCTAGTGCTTGTGCATCGCTAACCCACATATGCTTCCTTTAAGTATGTTTGGTCGCCTTCGATTAGTTATGCGAGAAAATAGCATGTGATTTTCGTCTGTTTTTACGGTTGCAGGCGATTTCGGGTTAGTAGTAGTTGCTTAAATGCAATTCTAACCTACGATGAAAACTTAATTTCACTTTATATACCTTCATTTAGCTGAAGCTAAGAGTGTAATTGTTTTTTGCGTTTCCTTATATTTACCAATGAGTAGAAGATTATTAACTCTAAGCTCAGTCGTGTATGATTGCTTGGCTTGGGTTGAGGATATTCGCCTTGGCAGCCGCGATGCAATGATTGTTATGTTAAAGTAAGAAACCTATTATCTAGCAGGTTCACTTAGTTGACAGCATGGCAATTCATTTGTCCCTAAATATTTATAGATTTCGCCGACTTAACAATGTTTTGACATACGAGCAAGGTAAAGGTAAATGAAACATTTAATTATGCAGCATATTTGCCTTTTAGGAGTTATGCTAACAGATCGCTGACCCACCTTATTTTGGCTTACTACTGCTAGACAATCTTTTCTTTATTTGAACTAATTGTACCTGTCTACTTTCGTCGATTTAATTGTCCCTTTTACTTCTAATCTCTGAAATCCTTAGCGTTTTACTGTGCTTCAGCTAAAGATGCTGTTTTTAAGTCTTTTAAAAGAGGTCCAAGTGGGAGGTCGGAGGAGGTTGAAGTGACTTGGTCAACTCCACCAAAAGATTCAGCGTCGTGGACAGTATCAAGTCAAGACAATTTATGAGTAGGTACGTACACTGTTGGAGAGTTTGAGTGTTGGCAAGGACTTTGGCTGTTATAATGCTTTTAGTAGCACACAATTCTCCTCCAAGAATTTCCTATTGTACCCCGAATCTCTCTCGCTAGAATAACCATATGAGCCCTTTAGTTGGCTTTTTTCTGTACTTTGCTGTGGCAGTATGGTGTTGTAGTCACTTCTCGTCCACCTTTTATGGAACTATGACAACTAGGAGACTCATTTTCGATTCGGGTTTTTGTCATTATGTTTAAAATGCAGCCAATTTTTGTTTGGGGGTAGCTGTAATTTCGGTTTTTCGCTAAATCGATGCGGTCACTTTGTCGTTCCTTCATTGTTAGACAGGTTCGTCATGTAGTTGCTATTGCCTTGCAATTGTAACTGAATTGCATTACGTGCAAGTCATCGCCAGAATTGGGGTTGTAAACTTGCCTACACTTCCGTGAAGATCCTGTCTACCCTTTCTAACTGAGCACGAGTTGATGGTGTTGGGCAAGCGGAGGTGCTTTGGGAAATGAATGAAGAAGGTCCATTAGAAGGGGATTTATTTAGTCTCCGTACTCTATCCAGCTAATAAGGGGTTGACGTCTTCATACGGGTACTGCTGACAGAAAACAAGTGCCTTACGCTAGGGATATTTGCAGACTTCACCGTTATTAAATCTGAAAGGATTTTGGGTTGATCTATAGGCCAAAACAAGGAGCTAGACGAATATTCCATGAATTGAAACATGTCGGTCGTCGATCAAGCTATGCGTCTCTGGGTTGCTTCTAGATAATAACAGTGCCTCAATTTTGTTTCTGAGGCGAAATTGGAACTTTCCTCTCCTCTGTGGCGCGTTCCAACCCAAGATGTCAATTCTATCACTTGTGACAGGAGAAATACTCTCTTGATAAGCGGTGACTATCACTCTCCATTGTCAAGTAGCGGATTGAATGTCCCTATTTGTACAACCATCTTTTCGAATGCATTTGGGTATGGTGACGTCAGGGTTTCTCCACCTTCCTGAAGTTGGACTTCACAGCTGACGAAAATTTGGAATGTCGAGTAATTTGGGTTTGACTGTGGAGACAAATTTAAAATGGGACTGTGAGGTCACAGGCATACCGTCTGTGCCGATCGAACTGAGTGGTTATGAACAATCGTGACAAATGTTGACTATCAATTCAAGCTCTTGTCACCTTAATACACAATACGAAGTCTATCTTGAATAACATCTACGTCTCTAACGTGCCGGTCAAGGCAAGATATTATCAACAGACAATGATATAGAAAAAAAAAGGATATAATTTAGCTTCGGATCTCCGCTATCACAGGTTTATTTGCTGGGCTGACCTCTGAGCCGTACCAATACAATGTTGGCTTTGTAGCAAACTTTCCTAAGAACTACAGGCAAGTCTAAAACCATTACTTTAAGTAAAATTTAAGCAGCAAGGACTCCAAATGCTTTCTGTTTTGAATGAATCATGTAAGCTGGTACGTTCTAGAGATTTTGATGAACGAAAGTCGTTGACATCTGTCAGCTGCAGGTAGAGTTATAGCATCTATGCAGTGCAAATGATAACTAGTTAATGTAGAAGTTGGTTCAGCGTTTTTATTTTTATTTTTATTTTGAATCCTAGGTATAGGCGCTAAAGCTATCAATGTACCTTTGCACATCTTGACGCTTACAGGAATTGTGTGTGCTGCACTTGCAGTTTACAAAGCACGGCCAAACGTTTCCCACATTTCAATCATATAACTCAAGCGTTTGTTTTTGTGTTCAATTATTTGAAGGCTATCATTGACGAGCCCACTTATTGGCTATTTAATAACAAGTTCTGATTTCGATATGCAAATTTTTTTGCAAATCCATCCCTTTTTCATACCTACCATATTTTTCCCCACGTTTTGATTGCTCTCGTGAGAATTCCGTAACTTCTTCTGCCCAATTTCCCACTGCCTGAATGAGGTGATTCCAGCTGAAGGCGCAAAACGGACCAATCCAAAGCCCTTAATTTTGCTTAATAAATCTTCTTTAAACTAAAGCTCTATACGCTTTTTTACAATGAATATTAATTTCAATGGTATGAGAGATTTGAGATAAAAGCAGCTACAGACGTCGCGATTAATTGGATGTGAGATTGTGTTAAACTAGGGACGCCAACAACGAAGACCTTGGACTTGTACATTGACAGCATACTGAAAATAGTCTTTCCCTAGTGAAGATACCCGTTGCCTTTTCATTAACGACATTTAGCTCTGCCTGGATATCTTCCACACTTAATAAAAGTTAAAATCGCCCACGACTAGCTCTAAACAGTCGAGTGCGCACCACCTTCAGGGCCGACTTGCCGTTGGTACCTTCACCAATGTTTTAAGAGCACACAACGCTTGCATTTGACCTGTTTCGCCCTTTAAATGAGACACTTTTCTCATGAGATTCGGATATGTACCATCACTAGCCCTCACTGTCAGGCGACAGGTACTGAATCCAATCCTCATATCGATTCCGGAGGATCAGTTGAACTACGATGCCTTACCAAATCAATCACCCATCACACTAACATTTACTGGCCGCACATCTCAATGGTGTGGCAGGAACAACAACATCACCAAATGAAGGCCCTCATTCCAGACAGTTTCGTAATGCTCACCTTACGAAATAATCCAGAGCTTGTTAAAGTTCAAATAGCGGATATTCTTATTGTGAACAGAAATTGCTACCCGTAAATAACCAGTGGAGAAAAACACAAACGGTACTTTGATTTTACGGACACCATAACGAGCGGTCGCGCTTCATAAATTTCCCAGTTTTTCTCGCATTTGAAATATCTTTGGTGGGTGTAAAACAAAAAAAAACCTGACTGAAGTCGAAGTTAGCCTTAACATCCAGCTAAAACCAGCCGTGGGGATTGACTAAATCCAACCAACCTGAGATATAAGAAGTCTGGAATAGTAGTATCTGGACTTACATTCCACAGAGTATGGGAAAGAGGATATGGACCTGTCCGAGTTGCCGGGAAACAGACACTTCTCCGGCAATTTATACACAAATACTATGTACACTATGACACAATGATGCATCGAAGTCAACTCCACGTTTCACGACTCTAAGGAATCGTTTAAGACAGCCGCTTCTAGGACATCACCTAGAAGTTCATCCGCGTCATCTTCAAGGGACTCCGTGTTTTCCAAGGGTGGAGGAGGTGAATCTGGAACAAGAATCTTACGAACACTTCCCCTGCCAGCCCCTTCATCAGCGCTGGAGATTGGTGATGAAACAGGCGGAAATAGAATTGAAATACGGGGTTTCTTGCGAGTACTTGATGATTCCTCCTTACAAGCCATTTCATCCTCCTGAAACAGCGACCGAGGGCTAGAGGAAGTAACTTCATCCAAAACCTATCTGTTGCCAAAGGCCTACCTGGGGTGTTGCAGCTGGCTGCAAATTCTCATTCATCGACTAATACAGAAGAAATGCAAAATTAAACGAATCCAGTTAAGTAAAAAGCCATAACTAAGGTACACACACGAGGCGTACCTCTGAGGTTGTCGTTGAGTCGTTCGCAGGGGTAAAAAAGTGGTCAATTTTCGGAGCCATATTGGACGCTGTGGGCTGCTTCGATAAAAGCTGTAAATTAAGCGATGCACTAGTAATTTCTTCATGCAAGATCTTGCATTGAGGCTTTGCACGCATACAAAAAAATGTCATATTGTTAACTCCACCAGTGCGTGCGTTCAAACACCGGCGAAACGACGGCAAAGGAAGGCGTGGAGACTTACCTTAGCCCGACTGAGATCAACATTGTCAAAGGATTCCTGATTCAATCCCACCTGACCCAAAACATCCAACTTATTCTTCACAAGAGACCTAAAGCTAGAGTAACCTGAAGTAGGACTCTACCAGAGCTGGTCGTCAACGGTACCACTGGCTAAGAGGTAGTGGATGTTCACGGAGTCCTGCTGTCCAATACGATGCGCTCGATCCTCAGCCTGGACCAGTACTCCTGGGTTCCAAAAGAGCTCTGCAAATACCACCAGATTTGCAGCGGTCAAATTTAAACCGGTGCTCGCTGCTGTGATTGAGAGGAGGGCCACTCGACAGTCAGATTCGTTTTGAAAGCGATCGCAGAGAGCACGACGCTGCTCAGGCGGCGTCTTGCCATCGATGCGTATGTACTCAACTTGCTGCGGGGAAGAAATGTGGTGAAGCCTTATACATTAATGGAGGGTACTCAATAAATCAAAAGCACCGAACACACCTTTGACTCTATTGATCGAGACATGGCGTCAAGCATCTCCTGATGGTGTGCATAGAGAATGAATTTTCTATCCTCCTCAAGCAAGTCTGTAATGTACTGGCTGAAGGAGAAAATTGGTCAAATGGGTAAGAGGCTTACCACACGGCCGGAATCTTGGCTTGGCAGGTCTGCATGAAAAGGCGTAACATTTCCCCGTGCTTTTCTATCCCCTTGAAGTGCAACGGATCCGAGGTCAAAAATGGGTTTACTACATAGTGCTACACCAAACCGCCTTCACTCACATGCAAATCCAGTGAGGCCAAATTTTCCAGGTGCTTACTCTTCCCACCTGGAGACTCATTTACCAGATCTGGGTCAAGGATCATGACTTGGCGTAACTTGGGAGGCAATTGGCCCAAGACTTCGCTTTTCACACGGCTAGGAAAAAAGTGCACCTGCTTGAGAAGTGGCAGCGTAGCAATTGTTTCACTTAAATACAGTGTCTACAACTTTGTTAAACACGAAAGCACTCCAGGCGTTCTGTACATATAGGGCTGTTTTATCCAACCTCATAGTTTATAAAACACTGGAGAAGGGCATAGTATATGAGAATAGGCATTGCTGACGAGGGATAATAGCATACCGTATCATGATGGTTTCCCGGAGAAGGATTTGGAGTTCTCGCAGGTTAGAACAACCCGAGTAGTCCCAACCCCAGACCTTTTCCTTAGCACCACAGTAACGGAGACCAAATTCGTGAAAGCCACCACAAAAGAAGTTGGGTCGGATGCCAGTAATTTGCGGGTAAAGCTCCAAGGGGCGAGAGAGGGCAGGTGTGCCCGTCAGCAGAATAGCCCGTTTGGCAGCCTGTAGGGAGGATAGTAGATGGAGTAATGCGTCACGGTGCTACTAGTCTTGCAGATGAGTATGAAGACCGACAGACTCACCTGAAGTATTGGGAGTGCCGATTTGGTGCGAGATGTCTTGATGTTCTTCAGGTTGTGCGATTCGTCCTGATTTGAGAGAACAACAATAACAGCATGTTAAGAGCCAGCCAACGACGGCCAGGCAGGGGAACAGACGATGCAGAAAGAATAATCTTCAGCGAGGAACTATAACACACTCAATCGTAAAGTTGAAAGGAAGAAGACCCGCACAAACCACCAGCGCCTCTAACTGAATGATTTGCCATTGTGCTAGCAAAGAAAGCAACTCTCAACACCACGAATACTCAGAGCACTACAGTACTTACCATGATGACTACCTTGAACGACGAAACCGTTCGACCCAACTTCTCGGCGTAGCGAGAGAGTAGATCATAGGTAACGATGGTTACCGGTTTACGCTGTTGTTGACAGCCCATGGAGTCAAGGGCATCATTAAGTGAGGCGACGACATGAATATTGTCACGAGAGAGACTGAGTGGAGAGGAACCAAGCCAGCGCAAAGCAGCTTCGCGCCAAGCGCAACGCAGTGACAAGGGCGTCACGACAAGAAGGGGCCATTCAGATCGATAGGCCGCGGCTATAGCAAGTGCCTGCACTGTCTTCCCCAAGCCCATGTCGTCGGCGAGGAGGACGCGACCCTCGTGCCTCAAAGCAAATCTACCAGAGACAAATAACGCGCCATCACCATCAAATTAACGACATTTAATGAGAGTTGAAAGCTAAATTGATCCTTAAGATTGCTAATGGTCTGTGAGAATATAAGCATCGTACATAAGAAAGTGAAGCTATAAATCGAGCAGAGCCAGGATTGCAGAACGGAACTATGAAGCAGAAATTGTGGCTGCAATTTGACAATGCGATCTTCAAAAATACTGAAACGCGCCAATCTTTAAAGTATAGTGAGTGAAATTCACACAATGAAACCGTAGCGCCAAATCCTGATTAGTATATGGGAGAGTCAGTACAACATTGTTCCCTTGAGACTACGCACTTCACGCCCTCTCTTTGAAAGTCCATCAGAGAATCAATGAGATGTCGAGGTATCCAATCTTCCAGACATATTTCCTTTTGTACCGGAGTTGATCCTTCTGAATCAATCTTTTCTTTGAATGTCTAACAAGGCGTTAAGGTGAAGCTCAAAATGAGTTCTGATCTTACCGTTACAACTGCACTAGAGAGACCTTCAAGTTGGACATCGTCGATAGTGGAGGCCTTACGCACTAGAATTAGGTGACGTCAAGCAAATGAAAAAATGAACTTACAGAATTCCCGATAGTCTGAGAGGTGAAACCGCCACACTTTGGTTTTGTCATCTTAAGGATAAAATACGAGCTCGAGGAGTACTCTTAGAGAAAATTCTAAACAGAGCAGGCAAATATATGCAAATAAGAATAGGACAGGTCAGTGGTTACATTATTTGAGTTACTGCGAATCATACCAAAGCATTAATTTGAAGGACGATCTTGATAATAGTATCTACTAAAAGTGCTCGAGTTTCCAGTTATAAACCAGAAGCTCAGTTTCTCTGGACTTGTGCAAGGAATGACCGAGTGTTAAGGTAATGAGTGTACTCCAGGTTTAGGCACCCAATTTATAAACTAAGCAATGCTTTCGGCGCCCTCCAAATGATCGCAAGCACCCCGATAACAGAATGCAAGACATTACAGGTAGATATTGTAATAAATATGTAGGAAGTATGGCTCTTAATTGGAATCATTAAAGCAAAAGTGGTATAAGTACCCTAGGTTGGATGGTGCTATCATTTACCTACCGTAAATACGAGTTGGCATGCTTTTGAAAACCAAAACGAGGCCTGCGTGGTACCTTGTCTGCACCTCAAACTCCTCCCTACTGACGAGAACGCAAACAGCACGAACTTTTGACTTTCCCCTGAGCAGAGGCATCTTCGATAGTCGTACGCCATTGCCTTCGATCGCTGAAGGTGCTGAGAGTGTGGATTCAGGTCGCTTTTGTACCACGGGGTTAGTATTGACGTTGGTGGTTTTAGGCGCACTACCTCGCAGGATTTGAGAGAGGAGGCCCGAAGAGGCTGACGTAGTCCTAAAGGTGTGTTAAAGAACGGCCCTCGAAGTGAGCAAGCTCAATCACAGTGAGGATTCGAGATAGGGACAGGAGAGTGCATATCTTAGATAGGCATCCAGGTTAAGTGTCCACAAAGCATGAAGACTATCAACGTAGTCGTTTCAACATACTCGGAAAATGCTGCAACCGTTCAAGGAAACGGCAAAAAAACCTTTAAAACCATCATTCCGGAAAGTCTGTATACTGTATTCTTTGGGCAAATTAGTACGCATAACAGGAAAGCGTGGCATAGAACAAGGTATTCTACAGCCTTTCACATATGAAATCAAATCAATCGTTTTGACTAGCACCGTAAAATACCCCAAATGATTAGAAGCCCAAAGCGCTCATGAACTTAACACAAGCATTAAAATACACACACTTCGGAGCAAAAGAAAATACCTTTGCACATTCTTTTGACACCGGTTGGAGATGGCAACACTTGCCTGTTGAGACAAACCTCGATTGGTCCCCAAAACGCTAGATGAGAACTGTCGACGATTAAGGGCATCCTGCCGATTCCGTTCCAACCGCCCGCGATCTGCTGCTACCAATACATTCCCTTGAATTTGATCTGTACCCCCACTGCTCGCTTGCGAGCGCACATTCGCATTCTTTTTTTGAAATTCCATGGCACGTTGCCGACGTATGAGAGCTTCTTGTCTATTTTTTTCAATCCGTTGACGCTCCGCTTCCGTTAATTGTCTTTTCATAATAACGCCTACAAAAAGAGGTCCGTGATTCCGCAGTGACAGAGAATTTGTCCAAAAAAAACACTTGGCAAAAGGAAGCGATTTATTAGGTTAGTTGTATGCAAGGGAGTGAAGCATGGCGCCCAGTCCTTGAGTGATGTTACTGGCAACAAGTTCGTCCACGTTCTCTTCAAGATGCCGTTTAGGATCCTATGAGTCGTGTGAATAGAATCGGAACCAATCATTACCATTTTTCCAACATTTTTGATAGCCAGCTGTTCTGGAGTCATCTTTTCCTCGTCTTCAAGGGATTTGTTGTAAGTTTTCACGAGATCAAGCACCTGCAGGAGAGTCTTATGGTTAGCATTGCAATGAGTTGAGTAGTCCTCTAGAGTTAAACCCTCTTGCCAAGTGCGCTTGTCTAAATTCATTAGCATCTAGAAATAGGCAATAAAATGTAAAAATACCGTTTGTTCCCTTTTATTCTTCCTGTAATTAATAGGGAGTGAGTAGTAGTGACGATTTAGACCATGGATAAGGGCCTGAATTGATGGCTTGTTAAGATGTCCAAGATTTGAAGTCGTTTGCCTGGGTTCTTGGTTGGCAATAACCATATTCGGATTGATTAGTCTGAAGGCATCAATTACAACCTAAATTTGGCATCAATCGATAGCATCCTACCTTTCCTTTGACACTTTGAATCGGATCTACGACCACAGCAACAGCGCGATCGGAGAGAGCCTCAAAACTCTGTTGCGTGTTCATATCAACACCAGAAAGCCAACACCCGAAACCAGGATGAGAATGGTACCACCCGACCACCATTTCAGGCCTAACTATGAGAACTTACGATGAACAGCATTACCTCCCAGTCTGCTTGAGCATATCGATCATTTTCGCCTGAAAGACTGGATCAACAGCTTCAACACTAACTCCGGTACCAGATTGTGGCATGGCAAACACGTCTACGACGGTGACTGTGTAGTCATCAACGAATTCCCCAAGCATCAAGCCCATTACTTCCATTGGGACGCCGGCGCGACCATGTTTGAGCATCTTCAGCAGAGCAAGTGAGCTTATATAGACCTGCTCAGCAGTATCGGGAACAGGTCCATCAGTTGGCTGGGAAGCAGGCTGACCAAAGGCAAGCCCGTCTGCGCCAAATCTTAATAAACGCTCCATCAACGTAACCACCAACGCAACTTATTAAGTATTAGATTTGAAAAATTTACGTCAACATCCTATAAAATCAATTGACTTAAACAATATATAAGTAAGAAGATGGGATGGCCGAACTTAAAGCACATCAGACATATTAAATCTCTTAAAACTTGTTGGCATAAACATCGTATGTTTTTTTATTGGTGATGGATTTCGCCAGATCTCGGTTCTAAACATCACTGTGTGGGAGAACAAATTAAAAACTTAAAACAATCACTACACTTCTTGAAGCTTGTTGCATATTGTTACTTTAGCACATTGATCAAATTCCAGGAAATGGTAAGCAATAGGCCGCACGACGGGCGGAGAGGAGATAGCAGACTTTAGAACCGTGAAGTATTACACAAGGCATCACATATGTGGACGCTGGAACCCGATCATTGTAGCATCCCAAAACTTCCTACCAGTTGAAAGAGAGCAATAAATGAAGTTGGATGCGTGTAACTTTAAAGGGAACAAGGCGACAATGCTTGAGCACGGCCCGAAGACCATTCTACACGTACAAGAGCCAGACAAATTCTAAAGTTGCCGCAAAACGTCAGATTGCCATATAACCAAAGCGTTTCACTGCCCATCTCTTCTGTTTAGCGACCTTCTCGACGCTCCCCTTGGTATACCTTCCGCACCAGCCATCATAACATATTCGGTAATACAAGAAGGCACCCACGAGCCAATTGCGCCAGTCGACAGAGAGCATGAGACTGAGGAACCGTACCTGGTCTCCTCAGCAGCTTCAGCTGGATCCAGATTTACGTTCGGTCTGACAACCAGATTCGGGACCGCATACACCTGTCGACCACCAATTGCTTCCAGGAGTGGATGGTAGAACTCTGGTTTAAAACAGGAGAAAACGGGATGAGCCACCGTTCCGTATGCAAGGAGAACCGTAGTGCCATTTCCGACACCCAAACACGAATTTTGTATGGGAACTTTCAACACGAAACTTTTCCAGATAGTTCATGGCGGTGCCGCTTCAGTTGAGAATAACTCGTCAGTGGAACACGGAAATAAGGTGAAGCCAAATACAGGCGTCAGTCTAAACCCCTTCGTTGTGGAGGATTCAGGGATTCTCCGTCACCAAGGC